GCAGGCTCTATTGCAAAGGCATTCTCTTTTGTGATTCGGGAGGACTGGATGTGTCACTTGTAGGTCACCAGATGATGAGCTCTACAGAGCCTTCCACCTGTTGGTCACCAGTGGAATTCAACCCAGCACCCAAAATTGAGGCCAGGCATTTTAATTGCATGTTCGCTTCACATCGGGTTGAGCGCTTTTCAGGCATCGTTTCTCACATGGGTGTCTAGCGTCTGGCACAATCAGGCCTCTTCTTAATTGGGTTCCTTAATCAAAGTTTCTGGATTGGGAGTCTGTAGGAATTTGGGGTTGAACACAAATTGTTAATTCTAGTAAAAAACCCATTCACCTTGTCTTTGGCACTAATTTAACCCAAGCTAAGGAGGTATATTTTCTGCTATCAATCACATGCACAGTGAAAAGTCAGGGAGAATAAAAAAAACGAGAACCCAAAACTTGCGATGCTATTTTTTCCCAAAAACACTTTTATTGGGGAGCAAGAAGTGAGCCAATTTATACTACAGTTTTTGAAAGCAGGTTTCAAGAATCTTTCTCGGCTTGACAGCAATACTGATTCCTCCCAAGCAACTCAGCCTGAAACAGACAACTCATAATGTTGAAGTTAGGTATAGTTACAGTTGACTGAAAAAGCGACTTCGAATGGAAATTATTATGCAACTGCTGCTTTGTGAATTGCTGCCAGATCTGAAGATAATACTAAAAGCAGCCATTTTCTTCTGATTGATTTGGTACTCTCTTATCCTTCCGTGCAATGACGATAGTAACGTCTAAATGACAGTATTGCTTGGAGTTTTCTCAATTCTTTTTGCATAGAAAAAAAAAGAAACAAATACATCGTACTCAAAGGCACAAAATCTTTGGAATTCACAGCATCTGGTGAAGCTGAGAGTGATCAAATAAGTATTAGTTTAATAAATTCTGATATGCGCACACATTCCAACAGGGAACATGCTATGTTTTACTTTGGTGAAAGCAGAGTCCCAGCACACTTAATGCGCTACTGTTTTCTCATCAGAATCCCTTATGCCGTACCAAATAGGTCACTGTGCTGAAATCACAGCTACGTTTTCAGTAGATTGCGTTAACTTTATGAATGCATCATAAAATGGGAACTCCATAACTTTGTATTGACACTGTTTTACTGCTGCAATTTACCATTCTAATGGCACTATGTAGGAAACAATGAATGAAATGCAATGAGATAATTAAGGGATAATCTCCATTACTGCAAAGTATACAAAGCAATAAACAGCTGCCAAAACTGATTAATAGCTGAAGCGAAGTAAAGACATTTAATCAATCTAATAAACCATTTATTATATGTATATAGAGGCTTACACTAGCTACAAAACATTTATCTTATTGATACCAACTGCACTATTTTCCTTTCTTTAGAATGTAGTATCATGAGACCTTGATTGTTCTTCCATTAAAGTCAAGGATAAAACTCCCATTGTGGGCCCAGGGTCAAGCCTTCACTGAGCTGATATCAATGAAAATAAATGCTTCCTTTCAATGTAGAACAGTTCTGCTAAAACCCACTTCCCCTCCCCCCCCATTATAAAACATCCTACGGCATTGAAAGGGGGACACGTTTTAGTGGCAAGGACAAATGTCAGGAGTCATGATGAAAATCTGAATCTCCTACTAACTTGTACAGCAATTTCCTGCAAAGCATTGATCTGTCTGTGCCTCCGCTTCCTAGCTGTAACATGGAGACAAAACCATTCACTTGTTCCACGGGATTATTTTGGATTTAGTTCATGTAGCATATAAAGAAACATAGAAGATACTGTACACACTTCAGAGCCTCGCTTAAGTAAAAGCAGAAAGGAATGAATTGCTCTCGATTCTGTTACATCTATCTCACAATCCGTACAGGAACAGGGGCGAGGTGGGTGGGGAAGGCTGAGCAACACGGCTGCAAGGCAGGGACCCGTGTCCTCGGCTGCAGCACTGCTGCCAGTGCAAGCACAGCTGAGCTTCCTAAACTTCCACGCTGCTTCCCACAGCCCTGCAAGTGCACGGACCTCCTCCAGCTCCTAGTCAGCTACGGGCATCCTGCTTTCCTGCTCTCCACCTTAGACTGGAGGGGTGAGGGAGCCTGCATGACATTAGCAAAAGGACAAGCGCAGGGAGAGATAACCCCTCCTGGCATTTTCTCTCATCCTTCTCCCACTTTACATATCACCATAAATGGCAATGCCCCCCCTAAACTGAAGTAAATACCAAATGCTTTAACGAGATGAATAAATAGCTTGAATTCACTGGAGTTTTACAATGTAAGTTGTAAAACCAAACTTACCGACATTTAAAACATATACAACACATTGGCTCAAGGTGAATATCATATTTGTCATGCCTTGCAAAACGTGCTTTTCCTCAGACAAGACGTTTGTATCTCCTCATCCCTGCATAGAACAGAGGCATTAGAGCACATGTTCTCCTACCACACATTATAATTGCCCTTTCCCTGCAAAGAAGTGGAAGATGCTTTTAGTGCTGGATGACTCTCGAACTTGCTCTGAAGCAACCCTTTTGTCTTAATGCTAGTAGGAAGCTACTTTGGTTTTATCCAAATATAAATGTTGATACAAAAATCTCATACCTAATAATAACAGAGGTATGAATTTATGGTTTCAGCAAAAGTTTCTATGCAAATTAACCCTCAGATAATTAAAAATGCCTCCAGTGCCTGGGCGGGTAAAAGATCAAGCACTTGCTGGATTACAACATAGCTAGCGCTGCGATAAAGCTTCGTAATAGCTTAAGAGCTCTCAGCCTTTACAGGTAGCAGGACTAATTCCATCAGCCAACATGTACTAACTCCTGTTCGTGTGTGCCCGATCTCACCTGCAAGGGACTGTTCGCAACTGCAAGACTCTTGTCTCGAGAAGCCAAAGCCAAACAGCGGGTTGAAACTTGCACAGTTGGATGCAATGCAAGCAGTGGCATCGCACTCATTCCCTGGGCAAGTGTTTGTCATAAGAGTAGGACGGGCAAACCTAAAAGACAAGTCCCAGAAACCTGCAATACTGGTATCTCTGCATGTACTGCTGTTTAGGGAGTGTTAGTTCTGTGAGAGAAAACACAGCTACATTTTGAATAACTTTTTCCCACATTGAACAAATACAGGGACCCGAAGACCCACAGCAAAATGTTTGGATGTGTCGACTGCAGGAACACGCTGAGTGTGAAACAAGGCCCCAGAGCTTTGAGTAATTTTCCCCAGAAACTAGATGTGGCACTACTGCAGATGCGAAATTCCTCGAGGCTGGGCCCACAGTCTCCCTTTGCGGTGAAGCACTGCGACGAGAACAGCTGCTTGCTGCTTCTGGAATGAAACGCAACGGTCATTGCTGCAGCCTAGCTTGGCAATCGAAATCCCACGGTTTTGCTACTGTTAAGTGAAACTGTTCAGAGCTACATACATGTTTTTATATGCTATATATATTTTAAAAATGCACATGGGCTGTGCATTTCTGTTTCAAGACAAAAAAAAAATAATTGTAACCAGTATTACTAAAATCCATGTTGCCTGGGTCTGCCAGCTACAGATGCGTTTCCCCAGCTAGTTAGTGGAATTTAAAATGACATCTGTCCGTTTTGTAGCAAGGCTGCAGTAGAGGCTTGTATACACCTCAGAAATATTTATTTCTAGGAAAGCAAGGAGCTTGCAATTCCTTATTTAGATTAAACATACCACCAGGCTTTCTTAAAGGTTTTCTCTTGACTTCACGCTCCCACAGCCCCACGAAAGAGCCGTTATTC